GTGCACTATTTGCGTGCAGAGACTGCACGAAGTGGGCCCCCTGCTTTTTTCAGGGAGTGAATGTAAGCAGATCTCTGAAGAAACCACTTGGCTCAGCAATTTTAGGGCTTGTTGTAATTGGCCTGGCCTAAAAGAATTCAGCAAGCTGTACCTGTGCCAAGGAAAATGCAAACGCTTCCCTGAAACAGAGGCATTTAGAGTGGAGGAGAGGAGCTGGGCTCATCTGCGAGCCTGAGTAGAACAGCAAGGGGGACAGGAGAGCGGCGATGCTGGAGAGGCTCCAAAGAGACTGTTTCCTTGCTTAGCCACGAGTGGAAGTCACATCCACTGAACTGTCACCTGGCAGGGTGAGTGGGGTCTGGCAGAGAAGGATCTGGAGTGGGAGGCTTCCTCCTTCCATTCTGAGCCTCCTCATTGCTCTGAGGAGCGCAGCACCCAGTGTGGCTCCTGGCCAGTTCCTCAGTGGTCCTTTTCTGGGCTCAGCCTCTACTACCCTTATCTGGACACTGGGGACTAAGAATATTCTCTCTGACATTCCCAGGCCAGGATGACACTTCCTATAGACTGACTGCTCTGATTCTTTGTGGCGTCTGACATGTTTTTTCTGTTAAAAACATAAAATCTAGGAATGATTCTTTGGATATTCTGTTGTTTTCCTTCGCAGCACCCTATAATCCTTTGCAGGAGTTTTACACTTGGCTGTGTTTCTCCCCTTCACTCGTTACTCTGTGACCCCTGGGAGGATCAGCCTAGTCATTCCAGTTGCATTCTGATGCTTACCATGGTTTTTGGCCAAGAGTAGTTACCGAGCAAATGATTGCTAGCTGACTAACAGTAATCCAGATTACTGTGGAACTTCATTTCTGTATCTCTCCTGTATCTTGAACATATAGGAGGTGTCTAGTCAACACTTAATCGATTCAGATGTTTCTCATGAACTAAAAATCTTTTGTAGCCAAGAAGGTGCCCTTTGCTGCTGTCCCCTGAGAAGTGAGCTAGTCAGGAAATGGAGACACCAAGTCTTATGATGGGTCTAGCTTTCTTTCTGCTTCTTTCTACTCAAAATATCTTTCCATGCCTGGCCTCCTTCTTCCTCCTCAGTGTTTACCCTTATTCCTGCCTCTCATCATCCCTTGATACCCCAAGATGGTCTTGGAAACCTCCCAGATATCTTAGACCTCCCATGTAAGTTCTTCCTTCACGCCTTCCTGCCTTTAATTTTTCTCCCTTTTTCTTCATCCCTGGACTCTTTTTTCTCCTCTCTGTGAGCTCAGTGTTCCCATCGCTCAATCAGAGGTCAATTCTCAAATGTTCTGTTTATCTTATCTGATGCCCTCATCAGCTTTGCACCCCTTTTTGCAACTCTCTCAGGGATAACGTCATGAAAGCAACTCCAAACACATTGCACATACCAGCCCTGCCAATAGCCCCATCATATTTTTTCCTTCCTTTTTAGCAATCTGCACCCTTTCTATTTCCCCTGCCCCTATTCTTATACCTTCCTAGCCTGCAAGGTAAGGTTCACACATAGATGCAAAAGATTGCAGAATAGGCAACAATGTCCCTATACTTTTTACTGGTACTGTGTGTCACAAGTATGTCTCCTCAAACTGAAGATAGGACTTTTAAAATTTACTGTAATTCTGACTTTAAGAAATCCTAATGAGCTTTGGGTTCTGTCTTGTATTCTGGTACTATACTAAAGGTGTCTTTTCCCTCGCGTCCATGTCTTGCTGATTGTATTTTCTATGTGTGTGTTTTGCTTATTCTTGAGCCCCATCAGAATGGTCTCCAATCAAATTGACTTCAGAGGTTGAGTTCAAATAGAGATCAAACAACCACTCAATCAGGGAAGATATGGATGGAATTCAGACATCGGGGGAGGTATTTGATAAAATGGCTTCTAAACATCTCTTTTAAAACCTGCGATTCTCCTTAAACTGATCATCAGAGTGTAGGAGTTTTGCCTTTTCTTTTGTGTTTTCCACTATACTAAAGGCCATTTACCCCATGGAGGAGGAGCTTGACTCTTGGGCTTACCTGTGATAGTAAAAGAAATAGTGCTGTTCAAGGGAAAGAGAGGAAAAGGCTGTAAGCATACTTTGGATTTATCTGATCACCTAACGTGTCAGACCACGAGATCCCTCAGCAGGAGTTAAAATGCTCTGTGTGAGGATGTCACATGCTTCTTTTGTTTAGTCTCTCCTTTTGGATCCCAGGTTGTTCATAGACTCAAATAGTCCAAGAGCTAGAAGGATCCCCAAAGGTTATTTCAGTGCAGGCAGCCTCCATGCCTGGCCCTCCATTTGACCAAAGAGTGTCCAGTGACAGAGCTGTCACAGCCTTCTCCAGACACAAAGTGACTTTTCCAAATTTGGACCAAGCTACAAGAATATTTTTCTTATAGTGGATCAAAAATATTTCCCTTTGACGTGTCTGTTAGTTCCATTCTATTTCCTGAAGCTGAGAAGAGCAAATCCCTCTCTTTTCTAACTGCGAGCTCTTTAAATATTTGAAGGCAGCAATTACAGAGTTATATCTTTATCTGCCTAAATATTTCCAGTTCTTCGAATTCCTCATGACATGGTTTCAAGTTGCTTCTATATCTTGGTTGTCCTATTGTCTGGGTCTTACATTTTTCCTGGTGTGGGGTGCAGAGCAGAATGGAATGCTCTGGCCAATCCAAAAGGGGAACAAGACTCTCCTTCCGTCACCACTCATTTTCCTGTTTCTCCACGCATGACCCCCGTCCCTCACATGCTCCAGACCCTCTGATACTTCCTCCTGTAGATGTAATTCTGGATTTTGATCCCATCTTTCACAGCGGGCCTGTCACTAAAGGTTCTCAGTTTTAGATCTATTTGCATGAAAGGGAATCTTTTTGTTTTTGCAGCTTTTCTTGAATTCTCTAAATTCTTGTTGCTTTTTTTTTTTTTCTTGGCTTGAGTTTATAACAGGGTTGAATTATCTCAAGGGCAGTTTAACCCTTTCATATTCAGCCCAGGGCCCAACATAGGTCTGATAAATCTTTATTGAGTTCATGGTTCGTAGCAAGATCATCAATTGACATACCTTTTTCTGTTTTGTCATCGTCATCATCATCATCATTATTTAAGTGGCACACAGTTCCTTTTGCTTAAAGTTATGGCTGTCTTTTGTCTTTATTCCTACAGTGCCAATGTTAGTTATGAAGAAAGAGCCCATAAAGTAGCTGCAACAGAATCAGAGGGTCGTGCAACCCAGTTTCATTTCCAGTGCACTAGCAAGTGGAGCTAAGATCAGAACCCAGGTTTCCTGACCTCCTCCTGCCCCGGATGTCTAGACTATGTCCTGTCTCTGAAGAAACGTGGGAGTGACACTCACTGATCATCCTCAGTACAGGGCAATGAGCCACACCATTAAGAAGCATTGATTGGTTCCCCCCGCTGTGAGAACAGTATAATGGGTATGATACAGAGAGACCCAGATGGAGTCTGCAGGAGAAAACTGGGCATTATGTCAAACGTGGAGGAAACACCCACAGGCCTGGTGGGATGGTCTCTGTTGACCAGGGCAGGCAGGGGAATCCAAACAAGGAAATCTTCTAGAATGACAACTGTGCTCCAGCACTGAACTGTAGGTTAGCATGTGGTTTGTGACATATTATTTCATTTTGCCACCATACCAGTTGTGAGATCTTAATTGTGAAACTAACTTAACTCCATCTTGTGGATAAAGAAACTGAGGCGAGAGCTGTGAATTGAGCACAAAATAAGTAGTAGAGATAGGTGTCAAGTCTAGATCTGTGGAAGCCTGGAGCTGGTTTTGCCACGTCACATTGTCTCATCGACTCTTCCAGCAGTTCTGGCAAGGGAGCTCTTGATTTCAGCAAAACAAATTTCAGACCATTTTCCACTGGCCTCTATTAAACTCCACGACCTTTCTGATGTTGGTGGCAGCTCTGTACTGGAACATACGTGAAGATGGAACTTGGATTAAAATAATAAAGCTTTGGTTGGGCACGGTGGCTCACACCTGTTAATCCCAGCACTTTGGGAGGCTGAGGCAGGCAGAGCATGAGGTCAGAAATTCAAGACCAGCGTGGCCAACATAGTGAAACCCTGTCTCTACTAAAGATACAAAAAATTAGCTGGGCATGGTGGTGGGTGCCTATAATTCTGGCTACTTGGGAGGCTGAGGCAGGAGAATCTCTTGAACCCAGGAGGCAGAGGTTGCAGGGAGCCAAGATGGCGCCACTGCACTTCAGCCCAGGTGACAGTGCGAGACTGCGTCTCAAATAATAATAACAACAACAATAAAGCTTCATTTATTAAAAACCGTAGCTACTTTGTGAGCTGTTTCACCGTAAGAAGCCATAGATGCTACAGGAATAAAGACAAAAAAAACAACAATAATAACTGTAAGCAAAAGAAGCTGTGTGACACTGAAACGAGGAGAAGAAGGATGATAATGACACCTGCCAGGGTGGGTTAGTGCAAATGAGTGTGTTCCTCTGGAAAAAGATACTATGTGGACATACAGTCTATTTTCACTAAGGTGGGGAGCAGAATGTGTCCTGGGCTTTAGAGGCACTGAAAGGCCAAGTTTCCACAGTGGCAGGAGAATCCAGGAGACTGGACCATCATGTCTTTAACTCAGAGAGTGGAGACCACGCCTTGTCTCCCAGAACCACCTTGTGTGAACATCTGACTTTATGATACATTGTGATACACAAGTTCCCACGCAGAGTGTAAGCCATGCAGGATTATTGCTCATACCACACTCACCTGGACTCAGAGACCTCCAGGCACTGAGGACTCCATCTCCCCAAAGTGTTTTCCTGATAAATTACAGAGCACCTCAACCCTGCAACTCACACAGAGGCTGTTCTTCATGGCTGGAGACGGACCCATGCCCTCTGGGGCATATCCCTGAGTGTGAACACTCTTTTCTCGCCCTCCTCCCACCCAGGCACCGTCCCAACTGGGCACTGCCTTGCCATGCTCCACATCTCCCACAAGGGGGAGCCCCCGGAGGGCAGCTGGGGCTGCGGAATTTTGGAAGCGCAGAAGTTTTCTCCTCCTGTCCTGTAACTGGTTTTCACTCACTCAACTGAGAGATTTCTTTGTTGCAATGATGGGGTCTAAGATGACACTTCTGGAGGCTGCAGGCGAGAAGCACAGCTGATATCATCTTTTATTGTGCGTTGTTATTTGCCTAGCATTGTAAATTAAGGAGGAAAAGTAACAAAGAGCTTGAAGACACGCACAGCTCACAGGCCCTGGGTGGAGGCTGGCAGCATCGGACAGACAGAACCAAGACATCTGAGGGGCAACCAGGAGGTGCGTGTGGCTGCAGAGCACACAGGTAGGTACCTGCAAGAGGACAGCCGTGACGGGGGGAGGAGCGGATGGAACAGTCACAGAAGGTGGTCAGCAGAGATTAAAGGGGAAAGGCAGTGCAGAGGTGTTGGGAGATGGAGGGAGAGAGGAGGGAGGCGTCACAAAGGAGTGCAAAAGAAAAAAAATGCAAAAGACTGACCACGGAGTGGGAGACGGAGAGTTTGGAAAGTGAATCAGAGACATAAGAGGGTTTGAAGTTGGTTCCAACTCGGCCACCCCAGAAACTTCACAAGGCATGAGAGGATGGGAGATTGACACTGAAGGCTCAGTTGCACAAGAAAATTCAGAGTGAGTAGGTGTGCCAGAAAGTCAATCAAATCATTTGGTTTGTGTGTCATATAGCCACACCTACTCCGGACTTTGACACACACTAGAAGGAATTCTGGTCTGAGGGTGTTTTCAGGTCTTCTCCACTTGGAACTCATGTTTCACACTTTCCCTTTCTTCCTTCGGGTCTTCCAGAGTCGCTCCAGATAATGGATTAGGAGTCAGAAATTCCACATTCTAGTCCAGGCTTTTCCACTTATTGGCGAGACAGGCTTAAAAAAGGAAATATCTGCACTTCCTTTTCCTTTGTCTATTAAAGGAAGATAATAATATATTACTTATGAGCCCTACAGGGTTTTTCTGAGGGTTGAATAAGTAAAATAGTGTGAACAAATGCTCTTAATAGATTACAATTGCTAGTTAAATAAAAGATGGCATGAATAATATTAATTATTTAATATATTCTTCCTATTCTCAGCAGGGGGTTTGCCTACTGAGCTTCACACACACACATATATATGTATACACATATATATGTGAAGAATAAGATAATGTGTAACATATATTTTATAAAGATATATTAGCCTTAATCTACTATCTGCGCAGGAATTTAAATATATGACTCTATTTCCACAGCACATGTTAGAGTAACCTCTTTGGCAGACAAATAGGAATCTTTGTGTTCTTACCTTTTTAGCCACCCTCAGATGTTATTTTCCCTGACCTTGGCTACATTTTTGTATTTCTCAAACATGCAAATAATGATTGATGGTGTCTGCTTGGCTACCTGGATGAGTGATTTGTCTGTGTCCTGGACACTGCTGCAAGAACAGATGTCGCACTGTGTCTCAGGCACATGATCAGACTAAATACGCCTGGAAGAAGCAAATAAGAGACTCTGTTAATCAGTTAATCATCCCACTGCTGTATTCCCTGCCTGAAGTGTGTGTGTGTGTGTGTGTGTGTGTGTGTGTGTGTGTGTGTGTGTTTTCTGAGTCATTTATTACTTAACACATTGAACCATCTTGGATGGAAAATTGGGTTCTGCACACGGGGTTAGGTTGCTTGAGTCTGCCTGTGAAGACTGCAGCTGGCTTTGATGCCTGTAGATGCACTCACCCTTCCCTCGGGTTCCAGAGGCAACGTGGTGTATGGGGAAGGCAATGTAGATGGTGGGAAAATCACTTGACTTCTCTTGCTCATCTGTCAAATGAGTCTGTTACCATCCTTTCTTCGTGCATCCAAAGGTAGATGTCAGGAGCACATGAGATTATACTGTGCACACCAACAGTTCGTAACTCTCCAAGTGCAGTATAATTATAAGGTTTTATTGCCATTATTCTGCTGCATGTTTCTTACATGATTTACCCATACTTCACAATTTAAAATATTTTACTTATTTAAATTATTTGAAAAGCTGCCTTTCCAGAGCTGTTAATGTATTCTCTTACTTTTTTCATCTCCACCAATCAGCTGATAAATCAAATATTTATAGAGATGCTAAATTTGCCATATACCTACTCATTGCCCAAAAGTTAGTATCCTATCTAAATCACACAATAGTTGCACAATGTATACATAGGCTGTTTGTATTTTTCTAACCATACCAAATATGTATATATACATCCCTTTTTTCAAGCATGTGCCTATTCCCCTTTTATTAAAAATATATGCAAATATGTATTTGAGCAAGAAACATATACCTACATCCACAAACACAGCATCTTCACTTAGATAGCAGAGTTAATGAGGAAGAGGAACAAGTGCATCACTCTATCAGCATTGCAGCTATTTTAGAGTCCAGAAATGACCACAGTACACAATTCATGTGGTTAAAAAAATCATGGATCAATTTCTGCCCTGTTCCTAGTAATGAATATCAATATCTTGCCTCTTTTAGACTGTCAGCAGCTTAAGATATTTTTAAATGAGTTTTTAAAAATAAATTTGTGAAGTCAATTATTTTGAATCTCATCTGAAGCAATTAAAAAACATCCTGACATTTAAGGTGATATTTTTTCCCAAGTAAAATAATTATAAATAATACTAATTATGAGGAAATCATTCAGTTACTCTCGGTCTGGTTCAACCTTTAGGTTAATAAACCAATCCATTAAAATTCATCTTGCTCAAAGGACCAATTTGTTAAAAAATGTAGCGACCTTTCACCAGAAGTATGATTGATACTTTCTTTAACAATAATCAGAGATGTCTTTCCCAGAAGGGAGTATGGTCAAGTGATAGGGATAGAAAACTAGGGTTCTTGTATGCCTCTCTTGGTAATACTTCTCAGACAGGTGCAGAATGATATTGATGATGATGAAGATGGTGGTGATAATGTACAAAATTACAACTCTAATTTTAAAGAGAGTACCTTAAAAAGATGTTTGAAAGCCTCAGGACAGCTGATCACAAAACCCGGCTATATTACTCTTCATGCTAAAACCAGAATTTAGATATTTCCCTCTGCTTCTAGTGTTTCATTCTCACCAAAGGTGTAGGACAGAGATTTGCAAATGTGTCCCATGGGCCAAATCTCATCCACTACATGTTATAAAGTTAGTTTTATTGGAACAAAGCCCATCTATTATTAGATATTGTCTTTGGATGCTTTTCTACTACAGAGGCAGAATGGAGTTGTTACAACAGAGACCACATGGTCCACAAATCTTAAAATGCTACTATCATTCTTTTACAAAAAAAACTTGCCAACTCTTATGTTAGGTAAAAAAAAAAAAAAAAAAAACTCAAGATTGAATTTATATCAGTAGCTAATATTTGAACAGCACTTTAGAGTTTATAAAGTCTGATCATATTATGTCATAACAGGTATTATCTTCATTTAAGTGATGAAGAAATTGCCGACATTTGCATAGTCGTTCAGCCATAAAGTGGTGTAGAAAGGATTTGACCTCTAAAGATGGAAGAATGCTGTCCCAATGGTAGTTTTCAAGAAGCAGGAAAGGAGCTGGCTCTCAAACTGTAGTAATGGCTACCTGTCTCTTTTATCCACCTGGATGTGACCATTGCCCAAAGACAGTGGAGAAAGCAAAACTCTTAACGTTCTTTTCTCTCATTATCTGACCCTGGCTGGGGCGATTTTTGCCCTGTCTGCCTCTACATCCTTATTCATATAACCAGAGTTATACTAATAAACAGAAAGGAGAGCAAAGCGGTTTGCAGTCAAAGCTAAACTTTGTTGCATCAACTCTCGCTTATCCATACTGAAAGGAACGTATCATGCTGAAATTGGCACTGTGGCATGAACATTCCAAAACAGCAGATAACAGAAAAGTCTTTGTATTTGGAATATCTTTTTAAAAAGTTTGCATTTTGAAACAGTAAATCCTTTCTTAGTTATGTTTCTTTTTTATTCAAGTTAATATCAAAATTATATTTTCCCCTCTGAGCTTAGAACATCTATTAGCAAAATAGGCCTTAAAGTTCTAGATATCAGGAGGAAGGAAGCCTGGAATGAAAACTGTGCCTTTAAGACTCATAGATATAAAACAACAATTGTTTGCTGGGACCAAAGCTTTTCTTAATCTCCTGTTTTCTTGGAAAAGGGTGAGGGATAAAATGAAACAAATAAGAATAAGAAATTTTTACATTGAATCTTTCCTGAAGATTCCAAGCCAAAGTTAAAGATTTAAACAATTGAGCTAATTCAATGTTTCATTCAACCAATCTTTATTTTGAGTGTCCACTGTGCAGGCACTGCTAGGAGTCAGAGTATCACAGTGACTAAGAAAATTGATCAGAGAAACAAACATGCGTACGTGTTGTTAGAATAAACAATGGGATGGGAGTA